AGAGTAGCAGCAATAAACACTGCTGCATAAATGTAGAACAAATGTTAGTCATTAAAATGATCATTATACAGTAAGTGTGCAGAGAGGTCTATGTAGATCATCAGTCATCCAGGTCAGAGAATATCAGGAGAACCTCTGTGCACCCATAGCATGTTATTATTCTGTCATCTCTGTAGCTCTGCTTCATTAAACTAAATCAAATTTTAAATGGCTTTAATATGCCTCTAACATTAAGAGTGAAAAGCACAATTAAAGCAGCTTATTCAAAGACAGTTAGTTACTTGCCAGTGTGACACCGAGTCATTAGCTGAATATGAACTCAATGCACTGCGCCAACCAGTCCAGCTGCAATTTAGTCACTCTCTCCAAAATAGTGACCGTCTTTTCTGTACGAGACAGATTCAAGTAAACCTAAAATTTTATGTCTCCCTGACTGTGTCACATCTGAATGTTACTCTGTATGATTTGTTAATCTAAAATTGGTTAACCTCAATACTAACTCAAACACCCTCTCAGTGATCGTAGAAGAGTTGCTGCCAGTAATGGTGATGTAGAAGAAGAAACTGCTAACTGGCAACAAATGAAAGGAAAATCCTGAATAACTGAGTGGAATTATTTTAAAAAATGCAATGGCCATTGATTAATTTGCTGATTGTTTATCTTTGTATTCACAGAATATCAAAAATTGAGGAAAATGCCCATTTTGACAGGTGATGTCTTCAAATGTGTTTTGTCCAACCAACAAACACAAAGATGATCAGTTTATTATCATTTATGATTAAGAACAGAGTCAGCTCCTCACATTAAAGAAGGTGTAACCAGAAAATGTTGATTATATTTCTATCAATTAATTGTCCAGTGGAGGTTACAGCTATAGCTTACCTGAATTTCTTCACTGAGCATTGCTCATGATAATTTAATGCATGAACTATCAGGTAGTTTCTGTTACCTCACCATTAACAATCATGACACCCTGACTTTCTGTGATTAGTCTATACATAACAGATCATCAATTAATTACTTCATCTGTGTATTGATGTGCACCAAATTGGCTGTGCTCCAGTAACACAAAGGTTCATTTCAAATCTATGCATTTGATCAGCCTGTCTATAAGCAGAACAGAACCTATTCCTAATAGAAATATTAAGCTTGTTTGCTTGTTGCTGCATGACCCAGTCGTATGTATGTATATCCAGTATGTATGATTGTATGCATATATGTCATTTACAAGTTGTAAAAAACTGACTGCACAAATTATAGGAAGCTATGTAACAAAATGCCAGCAGTGTGTCTAATTTGTCAAATTTCACCAGCTAAATGATTTAGGCTTTATTATTCTTGACCATATTACACACCACTTACAGTATTTCTGCAAAAACACATGATTTCATATTTCCAATAGAACAGGTACTGTTCTTCTGATCGAATGCATGGGTATGAAATGATCCTTTGTCTAACTAGAATGTAGCTACTTGGGTCGACTGAGTGTCTGAAGCAAGTGTGAATTAATGTCCCTTAATAGAATATCCATTAGGTCTGAACCAATCACAGAAAGCCACATTAGCTTGATCATTTGTGAATGGTGAATAAAGGGATTCATCATACATCATGCACTGAACCTCCATGAGTCCTGCACTGCTTTAACATTACTTAGGTATCTGAATTGTACCCTTATTATAAATTGTAAAATGACTGCCGGCTGCAGACTCCTGTCTCCTGTGAGCGCATGCACGAGGAAACGACGGACGCGTTTCCTGATACACCAGTATTAACAACACAGCTACACAGACAGGGGAGTTTCCATACTAACTATATAAACAAGGGAGAGGTATTGTCTAAAAACTGCTAAAGTTTGCATGAGGACAAAAACTGTGCCTGATAATTCGCAGCCACTTCAGTGTTTATTACATTACATCTGCTAAATTTACTACTAACTACCACTAATGCATCTACTAAAGCAGCTGTTTAAAGACAATACATTGAGCCAACAGTTCATTTGTCTGGATAGTATCTGCTGTTGATCAAACTCTGAGCACATAGCAGTACAGATGTAGTAGAGTGTAGCTCGTCAACTTTATGCTACAGCCCGAGTTTACATGATGAGGAACGAGGAAAGGAATAAAAATACACGTATCTTAACGACGATAAATCAACAGTGTGCACTCCTCCCCCAGTCTCTCACCTGTTTCTGGACGCTACAGTAGACGTACAGAGTGGCCAGCAGGCACGCGACCACCAGCACGTTTTGCACGGCCACGACCACCGCGAGCTTCCTCGCGCGCCTCTCCCGCTGGACCACGCTGCCTCCATCGGCGTTCATCCTCCTCCCGTCCATCAGTGATCTGAGCGCCCGCAGGGGAGCGGCGCGGCTTTTAAGAGACGAGTGGGCAAGGTGGAAGGAGGGGAGTGACTGGAAAGACAACCCCCGTGAACTATTCTTTATTTTGTCTGTGCACTTGTGTGGGTGATTGGGGGGTTTGCAGCGCGACACACGCACAACACCATCCAAACAGCGTGAGAGAAGTGAAATCAGCGCACCGCGAGCTGATTGGCTGATTGGCTGACAGAGGCAGAACACTTAGATGCTGGTACAAACCTCCCACATCCTGTCCGCTGCAATCACTGTGTCATCCCATCATATTCATCGGGGGAGAAGGGATCCGATGAAGATTTGTTTCTAGATATCCAAATGAAGTGATCCCGTGATTATACATTTTTAATATATTCCTTCACTGTAGACACAGCCATACATAAAATCATTGAAAACGAGCAGCACGTGGGCACATGACCCAGAAAGACAGTCAGGTTGGAGTCTTTACAGCAGCTTGTTGTTTACACTTTCACATGAATTTTAAATTATGATGCAACTCTCGTTCTGTGCAGGTAATCAGCAAAGGATGACGTAGTCAATACAAGAGGCACCCTGTGTGGTAGGAAATCAAAAATAAGAGCCTCCTACATTTGGAAGACAGCTAGCCCAGCTGTGCCAGAAACTACACAACTAGTAAAAAAAAAATACTGTCACACAGCTGCTGTAAAACCACACTGTGTACTTTCCACATGTTGGTTGTTGTGGGTTAAACAAACCAATTTATTTGGTGAGCTGCACCATAGTATCAACTAATTCATGGTATTACAGCTACACTCCATTCCATCTATTACCAATCAGCTGCCACACAGTGGGATTTCAAGGGCTCCTGAGGTTGCAGAGCAGTTGTTCAACCAGTTATCCTTTGCTACTTGTGTTGTTCCCCACAAGCCAGTGCCGCCCTCACCAAGACAAGTCAGACAAAGTGAGGGGACTTTTTTTTTAAAACAAAGTCAGATGATTTGTGGAGGGTCCATATTGTTGTGACTCTGGAGAAGCTAATGTCACTGCCTCACTTTCAGGAGTATCATGTGCAGCATATTTGTGGTACATGCTGCGAGTCAGCATTCACTGTGTCATACTTGACCTCCTCATCTTCATCCCCTACACAGGGTTTGATGTTCCTGTAACAGGTGTTGGGACTTTTGGGACTAAACATAGCATAGCCCCCATATGTTATGTTTAGTGTAGTGAGAGTGCAGTGAGCTTTGTATCTTGCATGTTGCTATGATGTCTAAAACAGAGGGTATCGATAACATCGGTATATTACCCTAGAGGGACATCTAGTGTCTGCGGCACAATATATAGTAATGAATTAATAATGTTCACTGGCTCCGACCCCAGTGAGCAAGTTGCCAAAAAGTATGGAAAAAAAGAGAGCAAAGTGATCCAGGCTTAATGCCACATGACAGTTGTTCATTTTATGTCTGCACAATGAAAACATCAGTGTTGCTCCTGTGCAGAGGGACATTCTCATATTTACTCTGATCAGACAAGCCCTGACATGTCAAGAACAGTGGTTTACACCGATGTTTCACTGTTTTGGTACATATCCTAACAAAAACACCTGCTTAGCTTAAACGAAACAGGTGTCCTATATCATCTGGCTTGTACAAAAACACAAGTGGCTGGTTGTGACAGCGAGATGAAAAGGAAGCTGAATGGAAAAGAGCCTGCCACATGGTTTCACAATTCATTTATCCTTTTGTGGGTAAACACAACAAACTCACTCAAACCCGAGTGTAAAGGCATGACACTACTCAAGTAACAAAGAAGCCAAAGTAAATGTTAAATGGTCCAGATAAACTCCTGTGGTGAGCTGTAAGAGAAGCACAGGCTCAAATGGGGAAACACATCAGCAGGAGTCCTGTAACGACTTTGATGTGTTTACAGGGTTCAAATATTGGTTCAATCAATACTGAATGTTTTTTTTTTTTTTTTTTTGAAGGGCTGGGTGCAAGTTCAGCTGATAGACATCAAGAGCAAAAGGATGAGGAAAGTTTGAGTTTGTGGAAGAAATGGTTATCAGATTAATCAGCAGCAGCCCACACACATCCTTTTACAAAACCCCTGCAACATAATGCAGAACAAGTGGCAAATATAAACCTGCAGCTAAAAGCTTGCTGAGCTCTGAAGTTTGCTTAAAGTGAAGTGCTTAACATCAGAATATTGTCCAGACATGTTCTGAACTGATGAAGCCTCTTGGATGAGAGGTGAAACGTTTTCGACCTAGAAATGTAGTCAAATTGATTTTTTTCAACTTGCTATGACCTGGATGACAAGTGTGCAAACCACAACAGAAAACCATGTCCCACCTGAATCATAAAAGGTTGCATCTAAAACAAACAGACAGACATTAGTGTAATCTGCTTAAAATCATCTGCAATGAAGTTTTGTGCAACAATCTCAGGTAATGGCATCAAGAGAAATGGCACAGCTACAACATGGGCACTGTTCTTTATAATTACAACAAATATGTATCTAAACACTTTGTTGGTGCCTTAAATTTGAACTGAAGTAAGAACATTTTGTGGTGACTGAAATCTGATGAATTAACACCAACATGTTTGTGATGTTGGGTGGTAAACAGGTGGAGGAAAAGATGACATGAAAAAGCCACAATTAAATAGTTTAATGGTGAAGGTGGACCCCTGAACCCAAACTCTGTCCCCTCACTTCAAGTCTGCCCTGTCAGTAGCTTTCTTATTTACAGCACAATATGGCACTCTTCCACACACATAGTTTGATTTTATATTATAATCCACAAATGTGTAGTCTTTCTATGTCACCATTTAGTTAACTATGTACACACTGATGGAATAAGACTGAGCTAATTCACTCCTTCCAACCAAAATGCAATTTCAGTTCCAGCATTAAAAAATTATTTTTTCAGTTCTATATTAATTTCCAGTTAATACAACTGGAGTCAACTTGTCAGATTTGAAGACAGCCAGCTCCAAACAGCCGGAGACATGGCTGTACAGTGTCTCTCATCAAAACGTTGCTGGCTCTGTTTCACCTTCCCTCGACTGTTCGCAAATCTTGGAGCTCCACTATTGCTCTACAGCTGACTCCCAAGTAGAAGAAGTAGAAGCTGGACTGGGAGGGTGGATATGGTACTAGACAGAAGTGTCTTCAAAAACCAGTAGTAATAGACAGAGGGGCTCTTATAGCAGACACTGTCCTGTAGTGCGCAGCAATCCTGAGAGAAAGTTTATAGCTAAAGGTGACAGAAGTCTTGGATCATACCGTGAATCCAACAACTCCTTTTTAAAAACCACTCCAGTCTTGTCAGTGCCAAACAAGAAAGGGACAATGGAGGAAGAAATACACAGTCTTTGTTCCACCCTGTCGATCCATTCACTCACTTGGCACCAGGGCCGATCTGTCCGGTCACTCACACACATCGTTCCATGTCCCTCTCCTCTCATCCTGGTTCAGAAAGGAAAGTCCTGGCTTCTCCCGCTTTGTCATTTCCTCCTCTCCCTCGCGTCTATGGGTGTGGGAGGTTCATTCGGTCCTCTATTAGAGTGTTGTCAGGACCTTGAGCCTCTATGCATTGCTTAACAGTTGCTATGACTCCAGAAAGACGCCTGTCCAGGGCTGTGAGTTTCGGTTCAGCCAGGACTGGGTGGACAGGGTCGAATACCAGGGCCTGCCGTATGGCTGAGCTCAGAGCTCCACCTCTCAGCAGGGTTAATCAGCAGGTTTAATCTGTTCCACGTGGACATACGGACCCTGACAGAGGCAGGGAGACAAGAGATACTACAGTCAAACACGATCATCAAAGTCTGATCATGAGGAGTTAAGATCTGACAGTTCTCTGACTACTCACATGCAGCACTGATAGAGTGGTGCGAGGATGCTTCGCTCGTCCAGAGCTGCGTTTCCAAAGCTGCATACAGACAAGAAAAACAAACATACAATTACAATTGAAAACTAAAGCCAGAGGCTTGTCTTCATTACAGCTAGCACTCAAATGCAATGTGTCTACAACAACAAGCACAGACTCTGTTTGTTGTAACAGCAGCTTCTCTTCTATCTAAATTTGTTTTGGTTTTAAAATACCAAAATAAGGGCTGGGGTCAGATAACCTGAAATCTGCTGCAGTGAACCACTTTTTTTACAGACAAAAGAAACTGAAAAGCACAGATGGTGACTGATTATCATTTGTTTCTTGATCATGCATCATATTTTACGCAACAGTTGTGTCACAGATTTGCTACTTCCCCAAAAAGCAGCTACTATTATTGTAACTGTTTATATATTTGGCTTTTTGTTCCATATGCTTGCTGATATTAGCATGCTCCCACACAACTGACAGTTTCTTCTCCTGTACCAGCTCTTCTTCACTACTACTCTGGGAAGGATGTGATTTGTTGATCTACAGTGGCAAGAAAACTCTGTGAACCCTTTGGAATGACCTGCATTTATCTATGAATGTCTTAAAATATGGTCAGGACTTCTTTAAGTTACACTAATGAACAAATATGCTGAACTACCAACACAGAAATCATTGCATTGTTCTTGTTCATTTTAATACTGTACATCACTCAAACATTCATAATGTTGGTTAGAAAAGATGCAACCTCCGAATTTAATGATGTCAACAAAAGCCGACTGGAGTCGAGAGTTATCAAACCTGCAGTCCAATCAATGAAACCAGGCTGAAGTTGTGGGTTAGAGCTACTCTAACACACATTTTGAGTTTGGAGTTCACAGAAGCATGATGTGACACATGCCTCACAAAAAGAGGCCCGAGAAGGTTTACGATCAATCATTGTTGATTTGCATGAAGCTAGAAAGGTCTACAGAGTCATCTCAAAGTCTAGCTGTACATCAGTCCACAGTTAGACAGGCTGTCTGTAAATGGAGGTGATTTAGTTCTGTGGCTACTCTCCACAGATATGTTGCCCGCTAAGAGGACTGCAAAGACACAACACTCATTGAGGTAAACAAGAGACCCAGCGTAACAGTGAGAGGCCTAAAGGAATCATAGGAGCTGGTTAACATCTCTGTGCATGAGTCTACCACATGCACATCATGGTTTCTGGTTTCATGGACACACATTTGGACCTTAACCCAACAGAGGTGCAGTGGAACGACCTCAGAGAGCCACTCATGCCACACATCAGCTGTGGGAGGAAGAACAGTCAGAGAACCAGGTCACTGCAAACAGTTGACATTGTTGTTCTTGCCACTGTGATTTTTTCATTTGCATTAAAGTGAATCTTCTGAACAGACAGACACAACCTAGATTTACTGTAGAAAGATTAACAGTGTGACCTAATGCTAGTATAACATGGCACTGACTGGCAAGGCTGTCTGCTCGCTTAGGAAATGACAGCTCTTGGAAGCACTGAGTGAGAACCTATTGCTGCAGGTCAAAGCTGAAATAAAAGAACAGGTCAAACTAATTATTTTAAACTGCTAAGATGATGATAAATGATCTGTTTTTCCCTTTAATACACAGAAAATATTTATGTTGTGCTTGATAAAAACCACAATCAGCAGTTCAATTGGAAAAGCAACCAAAACATTCTTTGATTGTCATCCTGACAACTATAAAAAATGTTAACAAGCAATGTTTTCCACTGTCAGGGTTTGATGATCAAAAAGAAAACAGCTTCAAAAAAGGATCAACAATTCAATGTCCTCACTTGACAGAAATATCTGTTTACCATAAGTCAGTTTTAAAGTAATTTCAGGAGGGAAAAATGTAAATTCCTGTAAAAGCTGGGGATGCTGCAGAATGCCACAACAAATAGAAAATGAAAATAAAAATCATTCTTAAAGGATCAAAAAATAACTAACTTTCTCGAAATCAGTGTTGTGATGATGTGGGGTAAATAAAGAGCAGAGCTTGCCAGTAAATCCCTGTTACTGATTTATTAGTCAGTAACACACAGTACTGTGATCACACAGTAACCAACTCACATTTTACTTGAGATGCTGAATTAAGATACTGATTCTTTCTGCAGCTTTTCCTGCTATTTCAGGGAAAAGCCTCAGAGGAGTCCTGTTAGTGAGGTTTTGTTTATTATTTGAACTCTGCACAATGTGAGTGATTTAGAGGTGAAGGAGTTTGTCATGTTGCCTGCCTCTTTGCATTGTCAAGCAGGATGAGCATGCTGGCGCCACCGTCGTCCTGGAAACTCTCATAGTGATGCCGATCTGCATTCCCAATGAGATAGTCAAATATAGCCGTGTCGATGACGTCCAGTAGCCTTGGCCCTTCATCATATGGGGGCATTTTCTTCACTGCCTCACAGTAGCTCTCGTCATACTCCCATCTGCATGATTAAGACACACACACACACACAATAAATCAGATCAGAATACACCTGTGGCCTGTTTGCAGGAGAAGGTAAAAACGTAGCCAAAATAATTTTAAAAATTCTGATGGTTATATAAATATAACAGAAGCATTTTAAACTAATGTCTTATTGCAAACAGTCTGTGAAGTGCCATTTACGCATGTGTTTGTATGTGTGAGAGAAAGTTACAGGTCTACTCTCTTCACATCTGGCACAGCATCCTCTGTATACTCAAAAGAGATGGCTGAGACATACACCCTCATGATCCCAAATAAATAAGTAAATCTCATACTCTGATGGCACAGCAACAACCACTTGTTCAGCAATCTGGCATCTTGAACAGAGCGTCATAAACTTGTGGTATAAACCTTTAATAATGCTGACATGATGTGTGTGTGTGTATGTGTAAGTGAGAGAGAGAGTGAGAGTGAGAGAGAGAGGGAGAGACAATTCCAGGATCCTATGTGGCATATTTCTGTAAGTTGGGTGACATTCAGACTGCTTGGCTGAAACATGCTGAGCTCAACAGGCTCTTCCAGTTACACAGCCAGTGTGCG